CCCCCACGGGCCGCCGCGGCTGTTCATCACCACCGCCGACACCTTCTGCGAGCTGCTTTTTGAAAAAAAGATGGAGTTTGAGGATTTCGGGTACCTTCGTCGGGTCTACGTCGACGATATCGGGGTGCAGCTCCCGATGCTCTCGAGCACGGCGCCCGTGAAGGAGGTGCGGGAGCGGCTGCGAAACCCCCTCGCGGTGGAGCTGCTCCTGGGAACGCTGCATCAGCTCCCGGGGCCGCACATCCGATCGATTTTGCAGCTCGGCCTCGTCTCCGCGGACGTGGGAACGAAGCTGAAGGATCACCTTAAAGCGCTCTGCATGAAGCCATCCGCGCAGACGATCGTGTTATCCCCCGTCCGCCTCCCTTCCACGCTGCACTGCGTTTTTAGCTTCTACCTGCACACGGAGAACCGCTACGAATACCTGGCAAAGCTGATTTGGCAGGCCCGCGAGACGATCCCAGGGCGGGCGGTGATTTTTATCCAAAGCCATGAGGATATCCTACAGGTCCGGCGAACCCTGCGAGGGTTCGGCATGAACGCCAAAATCTTCTCCGAGGTCTACGGCAATGGCCAGTTTCAGGAAAAGTGGAAGTTTCTCCTGCTTCGAGAGTCCGAGGCCTTTGGAACCGACATCCCGCTCGTCTCCCACGTCTTCGTGAGCTTCGCGCCGCAATCGTGGCAGACGTTTTTGCACATGTCTGGGCGCGCCGGACGGTTGGGAAATGTGGGGTGGGTTTTCACGATCACCGATAAACGCGACGCGAAGCACGTCCGTCGCGTTGCCGAAGATCTTTCCGTCGATTTCACGAATCACATCGTGGATGTAAACCTCGCCCAGGTCCCGCCGGCATCGGTGGACAGCTTCACGAAGGATCCGGAGCTCTTTGGGATGGATCCGCAGTACGTGGTGCAGCAGCACTACGAAGTGCAGGCCGAAAATCCCGATATGGCGAACCGAAGTCGGGAATTTTTCTCCAAACCCGCGTATAAGCAGTTTCAGATGGAGAACTACACACCCGTGGCGAAGCTGCAGCGGCGCTTTGACAGCGCAGGGAAGCTTGCGCGGGATGTGGAGCGCAACCCTTCAATTGTGTTGGATATGGCGCGAAAGGGCCTCGTGGATGATCAACTGCGTCCTACCAAGCGGCTGAAAGATCAAATGGATCTCAAAACATCCAAACGCGCCCCATCGCCTTTTGAAAAGAAGAGATAACCTCACACCTATGTTAGATTAATTGGAGTCACTCGCTTGAGCTTTTGTCAGGGTCTTCTTCGTTTTTTTAAAGAAAAGACGAAGAGCGATTGGAAAAAAATCGGTGATAATGGGGAATGATGCTATCGTTAAAAGGGTTTCATTAATCGTGTTCTCTCTCTCTCTCTCTCTCTCTTACTTTGTTTGTTAATTCTTGTATTTGGAGTGCAATGGATGCTGCCTCAAAGCCCTCTGGGAGGCATCATCTTGTGAATGATACGCCGCATGAAAAGCGGCAGGCTTCGCGAAATCCTCCCCAGATGGGCCGAGTACAGGCTCTCCTGCGTTGCCGACCTCTTTTGCCCGTCTTGGAGGCGGACCATAGCTGTAAACGCGTGCACGTTTTAGAAAGTTCGAACACCGTCGTGGTGAATGACTTCGGCGACGCCACGGACGGGGGCGGGGCGCGCCGATTCACCTTTGATCGCGTGCTTTCGTCGGAATCGACGCAGGAGGAGACGTTTGAGGAAGTTGCGCCTCTGATCAACCATGTGCTTGACGGCTACCACGCCACTATCTTCGCCTACGGTCAGACCGGTAGCGGTAAAACCCACACGATGGAAGGGCTCTCCTACACCACCGCCTCGAAGAAAATACGTCGAAAACGGCGGCAGAAAGAGATCCCCTTGCCAAACCTCGACACCCCCGCCGAGTTACATGGGATCATCCCCAGGGCGATTCAAACCATCTTCTCCCGCGCACACGATCGCGAGGCGGAGGCAGGCTCTTCACCACCGCCCGATACGCCGCCGGAGGAGCGTTTTTCTTATTCTCTCAAGTGTAGCTATTATCAGATCTACAACGAAACCGTCAGCGATCTTCTACGCCCGCAGCGTAAAGCAAACGCCCGTCAACCGAGCAGCGCGGCGAACGGGGCTCGAAAGCTCGATAGTGCGGATAAAGGCCTCCGGATCCGGTGGCAGCGCGATAACACCTTCCGTGTGGAAAATCTCTTTCTGTACCACTGCGAACGCGCGGAGGAAATGCGCGAGGCATTTTTCACCGGGGTTCGTGAAAAGGTCGTGTGTAGCCACCTGTTGAACGACGCCTCCTCGCGCTCGCACTGCGTTTTCACGATTTACGTCGAATGCCGCCGATCGACGACGCTCGAGGTGGTGCGGCGGTCGGAGCTGTCGTTGGTGGATCTCGCGGGGTCGGAGCGGCTTTCGTTGCTCACGCGCGATCCCTCCGCGGCGTTCGTGAAGGAGTCGATCGACATCAACACGTCATTGCTCGCGCTCGGGAAGGTGATCACCTCCCTGGCGGACGGGCATCGTGCGGGAAAAAGCCACGTTCCCTATCGCGATAGCAAACTCACCAAACTCCTCCAACACGCCCTCGGGGGGAACTCCATCACCGTGATGATCGCCTGCATCGGTCGATCCGATCGCTACGTCGAGGAGAGCGTCTCCACGATGCTCTACACCACGCGCGCGGGTCGGATTGAGAACGTTCCGCACATCAATCAGGATGCGACCATCACGCGGGTGAACGAACTCCGCGGCGAGGTCGCCTCCTTGCGGGAGGAGCTGCGGTATTATCGAGAGCTCGCGCTCGATCAGCTCGCACCGCTCTCCGCGATGGCGGAACGCGCGGCAGCGGCGCCCGGGGCGGCTTCTCCCGCGTTGGAAACCCCCACGATGGGGGTGAAATCGCCCGAGGCTGTGGATCAACTCGCGACGTCGCTCATCGACGCGTGCGCGATGCTTCAGCAGGTGATTGGGGTGAATCGGGAGCTGCGGGGTGCCTACGAGGTCGCCCTCCGCGCGAAGGAGGCGAGCGAGCGGCGGGAGGTGGAGCTGAATGCGGAGAATTTGGCGTTGCGCGAGCGAATCGAGATGCTCGAGTCGATCGCGCTGAATGAGGCCTTTTTAGACGGCAAGGAGGATGACGGAGAGGCGGAACGCACCGGCGGGGCGCGGCCGGTCGCGAATGGGTTGAAAGCCGCGATGCGGGCGACGTCTGATTGCCCGGATGCGGGGAAGGGGAGGGGGGTTCATGTGGATTGCGCAGACGACGGGGGGGGGTTGCGCAGCCACGCCCGTTTCGGTTCGAGCGCCTTTCTGTTGGAATGGGAAGGCGCGGGGCGGGGCCGGGGCTCGCGCGGCGAGGCCTCGAAGAAGACCCTCGAATCCGTATCCTCCGACCCCACTCGTGAAACGGAGGTTGGGGATAAAAATGGGGGGTCTAAGAAAGGGGTGAGCGACGCCACGGGTCCTGAGGGATGGTATTTCCAAACGGAAAGGATCTTCGCCAATGGATTCAATTCGGCGGATCCCTTAACCGTGAGGGATAACGAGAAACGCGCATCCACTCTGGAGAGTTCGAATTCTCTGACGGCAATGACCTCACCTGATGGCGGTGAGGAGAAACCACGTAAAGAGTTATTCGACAGATCGTTGTATACCCATACGGATGAGAACAGATTAGATTCCGACCCGAATGTCAGCGACATCGCAAAGAAAAGGAAAAAGCGTCTAAAGCGGGTGTTGGTGAGGAAATTAGCGGAGTATGAATCACGTTATCGTCTAGGGCCGTATGTCGAGCCCTACGGGGGCGGCCTTCGGACGAGTTCTTCTGGGGGCCTTTCCTCCTCCACGCGTCCTCCGCGGGGTCGTCCACGGCCTCCACGGACCCCCTCTTCCGACGCGCACGAACACGATGCGCTTCTGCGGAACGTCCCGCTGGAGATGCGCAACGCGGTGATACCGAAATCGCTCCGTGGGGCGAGCTCCTACGGCGAGCTCGACTTTGGCAGGGAGGCCGAAGACGTGGCGCGCTTTGAGGAGAAGCGGCGAGAGTATAAAGCGCAGCTGGCGGAGCTTCTCGCCCGCCGCAAGGAGCTTCGAAGTAGCTTGCATCAAGATATCTATGGCCGATCGTCAGTTCCTGAGGAAGAAAAGATACCTAATGAAGCTAAGGGGATGGATTCGGGCTCTCACGCGGACGTATTTTTCAACAAGGAGGCAGCTATTCAGGCGAGTTCAGTGGGGATGTCCTCCGCATCTGTGGATGGGGAGGGCTCCGGGAGGAAAATCCATTTAAAGGGTAGGCACCGCGCCGATGCCTCGCAGTTCTTGCCCTATGAGCCTGCTGGAATAACTTGCCCGCCGTTGAAATCTTCTAAAAAACGCTCGCAGCACTCGGCTGGTGGGTTGGAGCGACTTTTGAAGTATCTGGCGAGCGATAAAGTCTTATAAGTACGACTTGCAGTGCATGTCTCTCGCCTCTTTCGTACGACTCCGTTTTTTCTTTAATTTTTTTTGCTTTACATAAGAAAGAAAAATGACAATCCATACACAAATGACATCTTGGCATCTTTTTCATCCTTTGAATTTTATGTCGATTTTATGGGTTTCATTTTTCCAGTTCTTTCCTTTCTTTATGTCGGTTATATTCATGTATAATTGAGGGAGTAGAGGGTATTGTACCCCAGCACTAGACTGAAGGTAAGCAATTAATGATTCCTTTTCCACCTTTAACACTGTATTTTGAGAGTAACGGCCAAATAAAAATCTAAGAGGAGTGAAATCAGTCCTAAATGCTGAATCTTTTCCACCCTTGCATCTTAATAGATATATATACAATATAATAACAAAAATATTGTTATAACCTTTACATACAATCGCCCAGTTTAAACAAAGAAAAATGTCTGAACTACAGAAAGTTTTCGAAGCATTCGCTTCCTTTGGTTGCGGCCCCACCACTGAAATGGATAACAGCCACTTCTCGAAGATGCTCAAAGAGGCAAAGGTCATTGGTAAGGTATTCACAGCCACCGACGCTGATCTTCTTTTCAACAAGATCAAGAGAAAGGGGGAGCGTAAGATTATCTTCGAGGAGTTCACAGGCAGGGCGATCCCGGAGATCGCGGCAAAGCTAAAGAAGAGTGAGGAGGCTGTGGTGGAGATGATCTCGAACGCCTCTCCACAGGCGCGCGCGACGAAGACGGATAATGTTAAATTTCATGACGACAAGAGCTCCTACACCGGTGTCTATAAGGCGGGGGGACCGAGTAATATCGACCGCAACTCCGCTTCGTTAGCTGGTGTGGTGGATCGCCGCGTGGAGACGGTGGATAATCGCGGAACGGTTCCTAAACAACACTAGAATAAAATCTTTTATATATAAATATATATATATATTTATTTATTTATTTACTAATGGCACGAAAAGCTGCACCCGAATGATGCGATGTCGTTCACTGTTGATCGATTCCATTGTCTATGAAGCAAAATAAAGAATTTGTCTTTGTTTTTTAAAAATTGGTTTGCTGAACATGCTTCACGGCACTGGACCATTTTTTTTTTAGCCACAATTTGTTTTCTATATGCATTGATTATTATTTTATTGGGAAAAAAATGGGGTAATATGTATTCGACGTCTTTCATTTTTCTTAGAATTGTAAAAAGTTTCAATATTAAATTTTATTATTAGGCACAATGGTGTCAAATGGGGAAAAAAGTTCGTGTATCACTTGAATGACGGGTCGCTGCAGCCGTTCTGATAGCAAAAGACTGCTTTTGATTGTTTCTCACATAATTGGTCTTCACTTTTCCCGCATTTTTCACCTCTACTTTGAGGTAAAATAAGTTTGATTTCTATAGAATAGCTCACGCTTGCACATCTAAGTTCTATATAGGTATATTTAGACAAGCAAACCCAGATATATATGTGAATATAGGTATATGTATACAAGGATTTATTTAATCTTTTAAATCAGTATTTATTATTAGTTTTCAAGGACAGCGGACTTTTGTATTGATATAATCTGTTTCATTTTGTTCCCTTTTTGTCGTTATAAAAGGGATCATTTGCAATTCAAACTGGGCACTCTCCCCGATAAACAGCCCTTTGCGTGTGTTGGCGTGAGGGGGTTTCAGAATTGTTTTGTAGTCCTTTTTGATACTCTTAGTATTTAGCTACAAATTTGCTGATATAGCTTTATATTTGAGTTTGTTAAACATAAAAGAACAACAATAAGTAAAATCCACCGAAAAGGTTGGATAGCGGGACAATACGTACGTGTATATTTATACACACATATTTACCTATTCATTTGTTTGTTTCTGCTTGCTCAATGACGTTTCAGCAGAAGGACGATATTTGCCCTAGCCTTGACGGATCGAACTTGCGTGCGCAAGGTCTTGAAACCAACACGTTGGACTCCTTCACGATCTTTCGTGATGAAGAGGAGATGCTTAGCAATGTTGCCGTTGGTGCTGCGAGCCCGTTTTTAACGATTCAATCTCCCACAGTTGATGGACTGCACTCATCGGGATTTTTACCTCCCGCGGAGGCTTCAGCAGACGAAGAGGACGACGCCGACAACTCGCATGCCGCCATGAATGGTGAACCCGAGTATTTGGCGCTTAACCAAGAAAACCTCGCTCAGTTTGAATCGTCCGTTCAGAAGGGAAATGTCCCGCTTCGCACGGATGTGGTGGGCAACACCTACGTTGATGCTCGTGCGGCCAGGCTCGCGATGGCGGCGGCGCGAATGGAAACGCGGGGTGTGGCGAACCCTCACCAGCCGATTGTCCTGGATACCCCGCTGGATGCGGTGACGCGGAATCAACCCTGCCTGATCCACGTCGACACGATTTCCGTCAGCGACATCACCAACCACGTCACGCAGGGGAGTGAAAACAAGGAGCTCACCACCGTCTCCCCGATCACGCGGACCTCGCGGATCCCGAGCCGGCCGGACCTGTCGAAGACGAACGTCTCGACGTGGGATAACGTCTCGACGACCTTTGGCGGGGACAGCGGGACCGGCAGCACGCGACCCCAAGGCGACCTCCTGAACGAGCAGAACCTGCAGCGCCACCTCCACAAGCTGAACAGCGGCGGGGTCGCGCCGCTGAAGACGGACACGGTCCCCCTCGCGCTGCCCTCGACGAGC